TGGGCGGGGCTAGTACTTTGTAAGATAAGACTGATTTTGGCAAATGTCATATCCTCTGGGAAAATAGGGGGCGGGTGGGCGGGCCCAACATTTGTTAAAAAAAATTGTTAATCTTGTAAAAACTTGTGAAATTTAAAGGTCTTAAACTGCAAATGTCCATAGTGACAAGTTAAATTCCTAAGTCTACTCGAAATGTGCAAAATATGATGAATTTTAGCGATTTATCATTGCAAATTTTTAGAGAGTTTGAAATCTACAAGAAATTTCCTTTGTACATACTTTTAGATGTTTTTCTGGAAGCATTTCGAAGTTCTTTTCAGTCAATTTGAATTTTAGTTGTTTTTCAAAGTGTGCAAAAATTTTTTGAAGTTCCGTCAAAATCGCTCGATATAAAATTTTTGTATGACATACCTTCTAAGAAAATAAAGGGTGGGTGGGCGGGGCTAGTATTTGATAGGATAAGACTGATTTTGACACTTTTGACATTTTCGACCATTTTTCAACTATTTAAAAAAATTAGTTGAAGACATCTTGTAGATTTCGATATCCAGAAGTCATTTTCGACTTCGTTTCTTCGGAAATTCCAACCGTTTATCCAAAATCCTTAATTGAAATATCTAAATTTTTACAGTTTCATCAAAGTGGCTCACTATAAAAAGTTTGTAGATAAAAAGGGAAATTAAGTATTATTATTATTAATTTTTGTTTTCAAAATACACTTGTTTCAAGAATGTACTTTGAAATTTTTATATATTTACAGAAATATTTAAAATTTGTTTATATGGGACAATAGAGAAGTCAAGGCAGGTGCATGAAATAAGAAATAAATTTTATAGCAAATATTATAACAAAAATGGTTACGACTAGCGTGTTTTTTTTACTTTTTTCACATCTTAGATTCTATTATAAGTTTTCTGTCCACTCGACAGAAGAACATAATTAGCCCCGCCCACCCACCCTGTCTCCTTTTCAGTGATTGATCTTATCTGATCAGGATTAATGAATGATCTTATACCGAACAGAAATAAAATTAATCGTTGGAATGAGGAGAGAGGGTGGGTGGGCGGGCCTAGTACTTGCTAAGATAAAACTGATTTTGGCAGATGACATACCTTCCAAGAAAATAGAGGGCGGGTGGGCGGGGCTAATTCTTGCCAAGATAAGACTGATTTTGGCAGATGACATACCCTCTAAGAAAATGGACGGTGCATGGACGGGGCTAATATTTGATAAGATAAGACTGATTTTGGCACTTTTGACATTTTCGAACACTTTTCAACTATTTTCAAAAATTAGTTGAAGACATTTTCTCGTAGATTTCGATATCCAGAAGTCATTTTCGGCTTCCTTTGGAAATTCCTACCGTTTTTTTTAAATCCTTAATTAAAATTTAGCAATTTTTACAGTTTCGTCAAAGTAGCTCACTATAAAAATTTTGTAGATAAAAAGGGAAATTATTACTAATTTTTGTTTCACAAATTATACTTGTTTCAAGAATATACATAATCCGCGTTTCCCGTAAAAGAAATAGATTTTATAATTCGTTCACAAATTGTCAAATTTAGTCGCTTTTGTGGTTTTTGGGATCTTCGACAATTTTCGTCAACAATTTTAGACTTGTGCCAAAATTTTCAAAATTTGTGTGGGTAAAATCTCTGTTAAAACGTTTAGAATATATATAATCCAGGAGCAAGAGCTTTCCACACATTCATGAATTGTAATAGTGGAAATGTTCTAGATTCCGCGACAAAACCACTTTGAGTTTCCCTTGAAAACACCTTTTATCTATAGTTCTCGTACTTTGATAGTTGAAACTCGAATTTTATGGAAGTTCCGTAAGACTTTTATTTTTAGAAATTGTTTCAACGCTGGAAGTAGTTCAATATGAAAAAATCGAAAGCTTTCACTTTTAAGGTTCACGTAAAAAAATAATCGACGTTATGTAATAGCGCATTATTATTACATGCTTGACAGGAGGGGACCGGATGGTGTTTAGCATAGGCCCTCAAATAGTAGTCCGGCCCTGAGCATAATTCGACAAACTACAACCGATTACCCTCCTTAATCAAGTTCAAAAGTTCAAAGAGCAACCTGTTCCAAAAACGCCAAATGTGTAGTAGTTTAAATCGAAAATCCCGCGCTGCGCCCCAGCGCTGTTGCCACATTTTTTCTATGTTAATAAAAATCTTACTGTATTGAACAATAAATAATAAAATAATAATAAGATTAAATTGTAATAGTGCCGAAAGTGTTTAGTAGTTCGAGTTGAAAATCCCGCGCTGCGCCCTAGCGCTGTTGCCACATTTTTTCTTTGTTAATAAAAATCTTACTGTATTGAACCATAAATAATAAAATAATAATAAGATTAAATTGTAATAGTGCCGAAAGTGTTTAGTAGTTCGAGTTGAAATTCCCGCGTTGCACCCCAGCGCTGTTGCCACATTTTTTTACTTCCCGAGCGTAAGCAAAGGAAGTATTGTAATCGAGTCCGTCGGCCGACTCTCTACTTTTACGTTTTCTCGATCTTTCATGACCCCTAGAAGACGAAGAAATAGGTCTCCCATTTCCGTCTGTCTGTCCGTCCGTCTGTCCGTCTGTTGTCCCGGATTTTTATTAGACAGATAATCTTCGAAAGTACTCGACCGATTGTTGTGAAATTTTGTACTTATATTAAGAATATCATGTAGATGGTAAAACGCTAACCAAAATTTGTCTAATCATCCCCACCACTAATGCGATGACGTCACTTCAAAATTGTACATAGTAAATGGGTTTTCAATTGTATAAAATAACATAGTCCTACACATGTAGTTTACCACTCTGAATCGACTTTTCACCCGAAACGTCCAGATTTTTGGAAAAAAAATCAAAATTATAAAACAACATTTTGAAATTTAATTTTTAATCTGCTAACCAGAATGCTTTGAAATGTTGCAGATGTTTTAAGGCTATAAAGAGCATCATAAATCTTTAGTCAAAAAATATTTGCTTATCCCCTCCAAAAACTTGATGACGTCAGCTCAAAAGTTTGTGGAATAAATCATATCTAAAATGTACAAAATATGATGAGCCTGTACTTGTGATCTATCACTCCATTCATATTTTTTGGATTTGCATATACAGGGTGACTCAAAAAAATTAATGAATGCGTAAATATATTTTATTGATTTAATCAGGAACTACAAAACCGAATGCTCTGAAATCTTGCAGATGTTTTAAGGTCATAAAGAGCATAATAAATGTTTAGTCAAAATATATTTGCTTATCTCCTCCAAAAACTTGATGACGTCAGCTCGAAAGTTTGCCGAATAAATCATATCTAAAATGTACAAAATATAATGAGCCTGTACTTGTCATTTATCACTCCATTCATATTTTTTGGATTTGCATATACAGAGTGACTCAAAAAAATTAATGAATGCGTAAATATATTTTATTGATTTAATCAGGAACTACAAAACGGAATGCTCTGACATCTTGCAGATGTTTTGAGGTTATAAAGGGCATAATAAATGTTTAGTCAAAATATATTTGCTTATCCCCTCCAAAAACTTGATGACGTCAGCTCGAAAATTTGCCGAATAAATCATATCTAAAATGTACAAAATATGATGAGTCTGTACTTGTGATCTATCACTCCATTCATATTTTTTGGATTTGCATATACAGGGTGACTCAAGAAAATAAATGAAAGCGTAAATTTATTTTACTGATTTACTCAGGAACTACAAAACCGAATGCTTCGAAATCTTGAAGACATTTTAAAATTATCATAAGCATGGTAAATTTTTGATCAAAAGGTATTTGGTCGTCCCCCCTAAAAAATTTATGATGTCACCACAAAATTTTGCTGAAAAAATCCTATCTAAAATGTACAAAATATGGTGAGTCTCTTCTTGTGATTTATCATTCCATTCAAATTTTTTCGATTTGCATATGCAGGGTGACTCAAAAAAATTAATGAAGGCGTGAATTTATTTTATCGATTTAATCAGGAATTACAAAACCGAATGCTTTGAAATCTTGGGAATATTTTAAAGTTATTATAAGCATGGTAAACTTTTGTTCAAAATGTATTTGTTCATCCCTCCTAAAAAAATTGATGACGTCACCCTTAAATTTTGCTGAATAAATCCTATCTAAAATGCAAAAAATATGATGAGTTTGTACTTGTGATTTATCATTCCATTCATATTTTTTAGATTTTCTTAAGAGGTGGTTCAAAAAAATTAATGAAGTCAATTTATTTTATTGATTAAATTAAAGGCAACACTTATTATTAGTATTACACCCCAACCAACCCAATTTGGTAGACACAAAATTTGTTAAAGGAAAAACTCGGTTGAAACATAAGGGTAGCACGCTTATTTACATCGACTTTAACATTACAGACCTGCATTTGTTTTATGCGTTCACTTGATTCCGCGAATGTGAAATAGACATGTTTATAATCAACCAATTGTGAATTTCACCGTCAAGAATTAAAATAAAACCCAATGTTTTATATAATAAGCGGAAGTCGAAGCAATAAAACCGACGGTCGTTTTGTTTACAGTTTCTCTGTTTGGCTCTCATGTATGCTGTTACGCCTGTCATCTTAAATTAAGAATGTTTATACATACACGATTTTCAGTTGCCTCTGAAACGTAGGTATACGTGAGTAAATTGTTTCGTTATTTTATTGATTATTACAAATCAATATTCAAACGACCCAATTCATTTTCCCGAAAATTTGAGAATATAATAATTTTATTCTTAGTATTACACTACATCTATCCCAACTGATATACGTGTCCTTGCAAAAATGTTGATGACGTCATCGCATTTTTTTTTAAATTCCCACTACAAAAATGTGATGAGAAAAAAAACACAATAGGCATGCAGTCGTCAAGTTTCCGACAGCGAGGGAAGTACTGTCTAAACTCTTTAGACCAATTTTCTTTGTTAATAAAAATCTTACTGTATTGAACAATAAATAATAAAATAACAATAAGATTAAATTGTAATAGTGCCGAAAGTGTTTAGTGGTTCGAGTTGAAAATCCCGCGCTGCACCCCTGCGCCGTTGCCACATCCTCACGCGCCCTCGCGCCGTCCGCGCTCGCCTTAGCGGCGCGAATCTCGGCCGGCGCGAAATCTCGGCCTCGCCTCGCTCTCATCTCTCCGCAGCGGTCAGCGGCGTATTTGGGCCAAATATTGGCATTCGTGCATGACCCAATTGGGTGTCCCCGATGCACTGCCGCCAATGCACCGACCGGTCCGCCATCGCGGCGGCCGCAACCGTTTCACGCGTGTGCGTGAGTGCGTTGCGAGTTCCGCGTTGATACCGGCGTGTCGAAATCTTGCGAAGTGTAATCGGCCGGTCAGTGCAGTCGCGTTGTTCGTGCGTGCGTGTGTGCCAATCTGTGATAAGATGTGCTGGATCTAGTTGGCGCGCCAACTCTTGGTAAGTGCGTCGGGTCAAGACGGCCGGGTGCGGCGTTGCCGGATTGGCGCGCGCACCGCGTGGCCTTGTGCTGCGTGTGCAGGGCCGGAGCGGCGCTTGGGACGAGGCGCGGACCCACAGAGCCGGACTTGGCAACGGGGCGACGACTGCGATTCGGTGCGAACGGGACCAGTTCGGTGAAATTTTAATGGAGAGGTTGCATCGAGGAGGCGGCGGCGGGACGCAATTCGGGGCGTAAGCTCTTAATGCTGCCACAACACGTCGTAAATTTTGATAAAAGATAAAAAATTGTGTCAACTTTGGGAAATTGTTGGTAAATGTGCAGCGTTCCGTGGCTTTACTATTTTTTTTTCGGTAATAAAAACGTAGTGACTTGAAAATGTGTGAAACTATAAGCGACATATTTTGAGGTTAACTCCATTTGTTTACATAAAAAGAGCTTCTTAAAACTCCTTTTTGTATAGAACTATTTCTAGTACCAAAAAGTTTTTTCCTAGGTGTATGTTAGTGTAAAGTTGTGTGCTAGGGTATACATTATACACTAAGCAAAAAAAGTTATTTACTCTAGGAAGTTATATGTTTCCTGAGATAACGTCGTCGCTACGAGTTCGTGACCTAAGTAATTATGGGCCTATTGTACTTGCTTCCAACTTCATATCTAGAAAAAAAGGTTTTGTAGTTTATTATGCTTCCGTTTTATTTATTTATTTATTTATTTTTTTTTTTAATTATATATTATAAATATACAACACAATTACATCTTTAGCATCCTTAATCGATACAATATTAGCTGCAAATTTAAAATTTACAAACCTCAGGTTATCAGAATTGGTGAACTATAGATAAAAGAACAGAAAAGATCGTTTCCAAGACACCGTTTTAATTTATTAACCGTGAATGATATTTGAAAGTAGGCACGTTATTTAGTAATTAAAAAACGACTTGGTTTCAGCAATATATTTTAGCGCTACAAGTAGCTAAATTTAAGAAATTTAAATCTTTTTCCTTTGGTCATTTTTTTTTTTTTTTTGATATATGCATCAGTGAAAATATGGTGAACGTTTTATTATTTGTTATAGACTAAAATAATTGATCCGTGGAAAGCTTTTCTATAATGAATTACGCATACAGGGTGCCTCAAAGTTTGTAAACACTCTGTATACTAAAAGTAAATTTTATTGGTAGCTCAAACAAGCGCTTACCTTTATTTAGTACAGATGTCAAAAATAACGCCAAAAATTCAAGAAAATTGGAGTAACTTGGCAACGTCGCATCTGAATTTAAAAAATAAACTGCGGTTGAAAACCCTAAGGCAATCATTTACATTCTTAAATGATTGTCAAAATTTGGACGTTTTATGATTCTAGGGATCTAAATCCAGTAATTTTTCTTACTGTTTTCAAATCTATTGTTCTCAGCTTTTCAAATTCAAAATCTTTTGAATTTTAGGTATTTTTCAAAATGCGTTGAAATTTGCAAAATTTTGTACCGAAAGTTCAGTGAAAACATTGAGAATTTAGACCTTTTGGTGATTTTTGGGATTGCAAGAATTTTTGTTTATATTGTTGGATCTGTTCTTTTTGATCCAAAACATTTCTAGTTTTTTCTAAATGTGCCGAATTTTCAAAATTTTGGCCAGGAAAGTTTTTATTAATATATTCGTTTTTCCTCAAACTATAATGCCAACATTTTAAAAATAATCATTTACAAGAATTTTTCTTTGTATTTTTAAAATCTTTTGTTCTCAGTTTTCAAATTTTTTGTGACGAAAGTTATTAATCATTTTCAAAATTTAGATCTCTTTGTGAATTTAGGGTTTTATAATTGTTGCTTGTTTTGTTAGATCTGATTTTTAAGCTTTTTTAATCCAAAATGTTTCCAGCTTTTTTCCAAAATGTGCTAAAATTTTCCAAATTTTTGTAGCAAAAGTTTTTGTTAAAATATACATAATTTGTATTTTTCGTTTAACTATAGCGCCAACATTTTAAAAATTGTATTTAATATGTTTTTTTGGGGTTACAAGAATTTTTCTTTGTACTTTCAAATCTTTTGTTCTCATTTTTTCGGTTTCAAAATTTTTTGAATTTGAAACATTTTTCAAAATTTGGTGAAATTTTCAACATTTTCATTACCAAACTTTCAGTATTAGAATTTAAGTTTTTCACGAACTGATGCTAGGATTTTAAAATTTGTAAGTTACTAAGTTTTAAATGATTTTCAAAATTTAGACCTTTTTATGATTTTTGGGATCCGCAAGAATTTTTGTTTATATTGTTGGATACATTTTTTTCAGTTTTTTTGATCCAAAACATTTCCAGTTTTTTCCAAAATGTGCCGAATTTAAAAATTTTGGCCAGGAAAGTTTTTGTTAAAATATTTAGAATTCGTTTTTCCTCAAACTATGATGCCAACATTTTAAAAATAATAATTTACATGATTTTTTTTAGATCTACAACAATGTTTCTTTGTATTTTCAAATCTTTTGTTCTCAGCTTCTTGGATTCAAACTATTTTGAGTTCTAGACGTTTATCAAAATGTGAAGTTTTCAAAATTTTTGTGACGATTCATTTTTAAATAATTTTCAAAATTTAGACCTTTTTATGACTTTTGGGTTCTATAATTTCTGTTTGTTTTGTTAGATTTGTTTTTTAAGCTTTTTTGATTTCCAGTTTTTTCGAAAATGTGCCGAAATTTTCCAAATTTTTATCCCAAAAGATTTTGTTAGAGTATTCATGATTTGTATTTTTCCTTAAACCATTACGCAAACATTTTAAAAATAGCATTTTATATGATTTTTGGGATTACAAGAATTTTTCTTTGTATTTTCAAATCTTTTATTCTCATTCTTTCGGTTTAAAAATATTTTGAATTTGACATTTTGAAAATGTGGTGAAATTTTCAAAATTTAGACCTTTTTATAATTTTTGGGGTCTACAAAAATTCTTGTTTGTGTGTATTATTAGAGCTATTCTTGTCAGCTTTTTTAATCCAAAATATTTCCATTTTTTCAAAACGTACCAAAATTTTCGTAGGAAAATGTTTGTTAAAATATTTTGTTCAAAGTACGATTTCAACATTTTCAAAATAGTAATAATAATTCACGTGATTTTGAGATCTGAAAAATTTTTTCTTTGTATTTTCAAATGTTTTATTCTTACGAAACTATTTATTTTAAACATTTTTCAAAATTTGGTGAAATTTTCAAAATTTTTATGACAAAACTTTCAGTGAAACCATTAGAATTTATTTTTTTTTCACGAACTGAAGTTAGGATTTTAAAAATTGTAAGTTACTAATTTTTAAATGTTTTTCAAAATTTAAACCTTTTTATAATTTTTGGGGTTTGCATTTTTTTTTGTGTTATTGGAGCTGTCCAAAATATTTCAGTTTTTTCCAAAATTTTTGTCGCAAAAATTTGTGTCAAAATATTCATAATTTGTATTTTCAAAATAGTATTTTGTTTTTTGGGATTACAAGAATTTTTCTTTATATTTTCAAACCTTTTGTTCTCATCTTTTCTATTTCAAAATATTTGCAATTTTAGACTTTCAAAATTGTGAAATTTTCAAAATTTTTGTGACGAAAGTTTCAGTGAAAACATGAGAATTTAAGTTTTTTTTCACGAACTGTTGCTAGGATTTTAAAAATTGAAAGTTACTAATTTTTCAATAATTTTCAAAATTTAGACCTTTTTATAATTTTTGGGGTCTGCGAAAATTTTTATTTGTATAATTGGAGCTGTTCTTGTTAGCTTTTCTGATCCAAAATATTTCCATTTTTTCTCAAAATGTACTAAAATTTTCGTCGGAAAATTGTTTGTTAAAATATTTAGCTCAAACTATAATTCCAACTTTTTAAAAATAATAATTTTTCTCGAACTGGGGCTAGGATTTTAAAAATTGCAACTATTTTTAAACAAATTTTCAAAAATTTTTTGTAGTTTTTGAGTTCCGCAAGAATATTTGCTTGTTTTGTTAGATCTGTTTTTTAAACTTTTTTGATCCAAAATATTTCCAAAATCTGCTGATATTTTTCAAATTTTTGTTAAAATATTCATAATTTGTATTTTTCCCCAAACTATAGCGCCAACATTTTAAAATTAGTATTTTATATATTTTTTGGGATTACAGGAATTTTTCTTTGTATTTTCAAACTTTCTGTTCTCATCTTTTCCGTTTCAAAATATTTTGAATTTTAGACATTTTCCAAAATGTGCTGAAATTTTCAAAATTTTTGAGATGAAAGTTTCAGTGAAAACAGAATTTTTTGACGAACAGATGTTGGAATTTTAAAAATTGTAAGTTAATATTTTTTAAATTATTTTCAAAATTTAGACCTTTTTATAATTTTTTTGATCCAAAATATTTCCATTTCTAAACTTACCAAAATTTTCGTCGGGAATTTTTTTTTTTAATATTTACCTCAAGCTATAATTCCAACATTTTAAAAAAGTAGGTTACGTGATTTTTGAGGTCTACAAACATTTTTCTTTGTATTTTCAAATGTTTTGTTCTCTGTTTTTTTCCAAAATTTGCCGAAATTTTCCAAATTTTTGTTAAAATATTTATAATTACTTTTTTGGGTTTACAAGTTTTCTTTGTATTTTCAAATCTTTTCGGATTAAAAATATTTTGAATTTGATGTTGTATAAAAAACGTTGAAATTTTCAAAATTTTTGGGTTGAAAGTTCAATTTAATCATTTGGAGTTTAAATTCAGCTTTTCTAATCCAAAATATTTTCAGTTTTTTCCAAAATGTCCGAAATTTCCAAAATTTTTGTCGGTGAAATTTAAAAAATAGTGATTACGTGATTTTTGCAGTTTAGAAGAATTTTTGTTTGTATTTTCAGCTTTTCTGGTCCAAACGATCTTGAAATTTACTTGTTTTCCAAAAAATATATAAGAAAGTTGTCGCAGTAAAATTTTGGACACGTGATTTTTGGGATCTACAAAAATTTTTCTTTGTATTTTCAAACGTTTTGTTCTCTACTTTTTTCCAA